CAATATTGAGCCAATTTCAGCCAAATAAGAAGAATGCGATAATAAAAAAAAACTGGAAGGAAATACAGTTGACCCTTGACCAACATAGGGGTTAGGGGTTCTAACCCCCACTCCATAGAGTCAAAAATCCATGTCTAACTTTTGACTCCTCAAAAACTTAACTACTAATAGCCTACTATTGACCAGAAGCCTTCTCAATAACATAAACAGTTGATTAACACGTTTTTTGTATGTTATATGTATTAAACACTGTATTCTTAAAGTAAGCTAGAGAAAACAAAATGGTATTAAGAAAAATCTTAGGGAAAATACATTTACAGTACTGTATGCACTTCTTGAAAAAACCCCACACTCTATGTGAACCCACGCAGTTCAAACCTGTGTTGTTCGGGGGTCAACTCTACTTTTAGATGTCTTTGGGTAAATGAGAACTTAAAAGCAATTTTTTTATATTCATGTGTGTTTTTCTAAATTTTCAGCTGAGCATCTATTTTTGAAAAATCTGCGAAAAATAAAGTGTGTGTGTGTGTGTGTGTGTGTATGAGAGAGAGAGAGAGAGAGAGAGAGAGAGAGAGAGAGAGAGAGAGAGCGAGAGAGAGAGAGAGAAAAGACTGTGTCAGGAAGGCTGTAGTAGGAACGGGAGACCTACCAAATGTGGATCTTGTTGCCCAAGTTCTAAAAACTGAAATCCATTCCCAGGAGAGGCAGTGCAGCAGCAGCGCATCCTTCTCCCCAATCTTGGGCCATGCCTGCCCTCACCTCTGAGCACAGAGAACAGGCACCCAACCAAGTACCAGAGTCCGGTTCTGGGGGTGCAGTGACCAGCTTCTCCAATGGAAGGTGTCGCTGAGGGTCTCAGAAGCCTGTGAGTGGGAAGGGGTTTTTTTTTGGCCCAGCATTAGTGTCGGCCAGGTCTCCCTCTCTGGGCAACCCACCTTTGGATGTGGCAGAGTTAAGCTGTCCCTCAACTTTTAATTAAGAAAACAGCCATGAGTTGGATTCTAAAAGGCAGGAGTGAGCGGCAGACGCACGTGATGGGACAGACATTGGAACCGGCAGCAGCAGGTGTGGGTTCTGGTCTCAGCCTCGTTTCCCCTCGCTGTGTGAGGCTGAGTAAGGCTCCTCCCTCTCTGAGCCTCAGGTCCCCCTCTACAGTTTCAAGAGTTTGGGCAGAAAGAGTTCTAAGCTGTTCTGCAGCTCAGAATCAACAGCTGGAAGTCACAGGTTCCTGGCCATACTTTCGTAAAGTCTCCATGGCCCAGTGGACCTTAGAAGCCTTCCAACTCCATTGTTCCACCCCTGTTTTTAATGAAGCCACATCTGGAGTGTATCTCCTCTGATCCCTGTTTTGTACAGTTCTTCACAGCTGGGTCCCCATAAATCAATTTGCTCTGCAGACAAGTTCCCAGAATTGTCCAGAATCTTACCCAGAAAAGGCAGTTTTATTTCCCTTCAGATTCTGGTTCCAAAAGGAGTGAGCTGAGCCCAGTCCACTTCAGGACAAACTCCCTGAGCTGATCCTGTGGTCGCTGGGGTTTTACGGGGCTCATGAAGCTGTGTCCTACCTGTGGACACAGAGATGAGCCAGCCTGGGGGCCCCCTTCCCAGCCTCTCTCAGGGGGCAGCTCCCCCACTCTACAGAGAAAAGATTAGATTGAAATGACCTCCGCCCTCCAAAACTCCTGCAGCTCTTGGGTTCAAAGTTTCCCCAGAGATAAACTACTTCTGGGGGGAGAAGAGTTGAAAAGTTAACTTCTCTGCAGGTGGAAAGGGAAGGAGGCCTGGGGATCCTCTGAGGACTTCCTTTGCTTGCTTGTTCTGCCCCAGGCAGCAAACAATACAGAATCCAGAAGAGCAACTGTACCACAGCTGGGGGCCGAGATATCCCTGCTGTTTCTGACAGCTGCTCTGGTCCCCAAGCTAGCTCTGGGATGGAGCAACACAGAATCTTTGGTTAGTAAATGGTCCCTGAGCACTCATTCTGGTTGGGTGCTCTGTGCTCCCAGCCTTGCCCACCTCATCTCATTTAATCCTCGGCACACCCGAAGAGTTAGATACTAGTACAACCTCCGTTTTACAGATGAGGAATTGGGGCTCAAAGGAGTTAAGTGACTTGCCCAAAGTCACACAGCTGGCAAGTGACCAAAGGGAATTCATATCCAGGTCTGTCCTTCTACAAATCCCAACCTCTTTGAAATCTATCCTGACAAATAAAGCCAAACATACGTCCTTAACTGCTTCCTGACTAACAAGAGTTTGGACTAAGACTCCATTTGGGAGAATTTTTAAAGGTAATTTTTACCAAACGTACTTTAGCCTAAGTACGTGTACTTAGCTCTAAAAGCTTCATAGTACTCAAGGTTTATAATAAAATCAGAAGCCCCGTCCCACCCTCCCAACCCCTCCTCCCCCTCACTCAGATCTGGCTCCCAAGGGGCCTCTACAGGCAACATCTCCAGCAAATTCTTCCAGTTATTTGCCTTCATATTTCAAATAACATTAGCCTTTCTTTCTCAGGATTTTTCAGTTTTAGATCATTTTTATTGACTTATTATGGAAAATGAAAGTTCTCTTATACCGTCTCACTCTTGCTGTCACACACATACACCTACTGCCCCTTCCTCCCCCATAGACCAGTCATGTTTTATTGCCCTCAGATCATCTAGGGTAGCCTGAGCTTGCCTAGGCCGCCCGGCAGGGATGGAGAAGAGTCTTGACCTTTGGTTAAACGCAGCAGATTTAATGCAACATCTACTTCAAACTCCCTCCCAGAACTCCAGTGAAAACCACATCCCATAAGGAAGATTTGAAGCACCTAGGGCTGGCTGACCTGGAGCAGAGCAGATTCACACACTCCAACCTCGTGGAATCTCTGAGGGGCAGAGAGCACACACGCTGGGTGGCCTCTGAGGGGGATCTAGAGCAATAAGGGAAGCTCCAGGGAGGCAGAGTTCAACTTTGTTAGAAGCCATCTGAGCACAGAACAGAACGAGACAGTCTGTAAAGGGAGCAGGAATTCTCCCACCAGCAGTGGACAAGTTAGGGTCTCTCTGATCACGTGTTGGGGACAAGGCGGGATTCCTGCATGAGGTGGGAGTTGAACACATGACTTCTAAAGTTTCTTCACATTCTATAAGGCAGTAATTTGCTTCCTTTTATAACAGTTGGCAACTAGAACCCAGCGGTGCTGTGCGATCACCCTTGAGTGAATCACTGGAGCTGCTCCGTAGACACACCCATCTGGCAATTTCTTTTTAGGATGCTGAAATAACTAGCTCTACGTTCTGATGAGCAATCAGTTCCACTGACCCTTGCCTTGTAAAAGAAGGTTCGAGATGATTCACAAAGGAATCATGACATGGTAGATGGGACAGAACTCTCAGTCCCACGGGTTTTAAGCACTCTGAAGATGGGTAAGTGCTGGATGGAGCAACTACAGTAGATTTCGCCACAAACTGTGAGCCTCCCTGGCTTCGCAGCAAGAATCTTGAATGAGAAACGGAAGAAACACCCTCCACATCCTGCCTTCCCCCTCTTGCCCCATTTGAAAGAGAAAAAGGGCAGAGTGTGGGTGTGAGCAACAGAGAATTGTACCTGGACAACTGCGCCTGGAGGAGCGGGTCTGAACCCCCACTGACTGCACTTGGAGCTGTCCCTGTTCTACCCCGACTTGACATTTTTAAAAGAAATGTGCTCGCCCAGGATGTGAATCCACTGAGACCTCCTGACTCTCCAGGCAGGACAGACTCATTAATTCTCATGCCATAACTGGCAGCGTGGTGTAACTGCACTGAGGGAGGGGCTATCTATGGTCAGTGTGTATGAGCTGTGACTTGGGTGAGTCACTCCCTCCCCTATGGGAGGCAGAAGGACAGAGTGCTTGCCACTGAGCTCTGGAGTAAGACTTCCTGGGTTCAAATCCCAGCGCTGCCATTGATTAGCTTAGACAAGCTCCCTATCCTTTCTGAGCCTCAGTGTCCTCATCTTTAAATTGGGGGTGGGGTGGGGATACCGGACAGGAGAACTAACACTATACACTACTGGGTTTGATAATTAAATTAGCTTGTTTATATGAAGTGCTTAGGGCAGAGCCCAACTCATGGAATGATTATATAATTATCAGCAGCTGCAAAAAGAAGACAGTTGATCTTATAGGATCAAACCAAATAATACTCTTGAAAACAAAACTCTGAAGTTGTGTCTAAGTGTGAGAAATTTGGTGTGCAGTGCATTGAACTTCACAAACATCAGGAGACTGTAAGAGGCCAGTGTTTCTAACCCCACTTATTAAATAAACATTGTGCCAATGATATCACGTGGCAGTCTTCAGAAATTTTTATCAAGATAGGTAACAAATTTTATTTTACGATTTAATATAATATAGCAAGGTCGATTTGTGAAGATATAATTTTTAAAAAAGAGTCCCAGTTTAACATTTCAAGAAAAATATTACCCAGGCCAAATTTAGAACATGGATTACTAAATGGAATTATAGGCATTCACGAAGCAGATAACGCCCCTGGCTTGCTGTGGGATCCTGGGCAAACCCCCTCCTTCACTCGCCTCCAGTCCCTCCATCAGCTCCCCTGGGCACAGGATGATCTCTGCGGGCCTCCCAGGTCTGCACCCTGTGGACCTATGGTTTGGAGAATTTTTTAGACCAATAGACTTGGCCTCAATTATGGCACTGTCATGTTTCCTGAGCTGACACCACCATCTGGTGTGCCTATGAGAGTAAGACATTAGTGACCAGCCAACCAGGAGCTTTTTCCTCTCCCTTTTACGAGAAATGCAGAATCTCAGGCCCCATCCCAGACCTACAGAAACCGTAATCTGCCTTTTAACAAGATGCCAGGTGATTCCGTACACATTAAAGTGTGAAAAGCACTGCTTTAATAGGAGAAAAAGGAAGCTAGTACGGGACATTTAAGTTTAGCATATATTCGACACTTAAAGAAATCCAGAATTGAGCCATAGAAATAAAACAAATCCTTCCCAACTGACATGTAAGGAGTTTATTAAATCAGTTTTCAAAAAGGAAACTTCTCAAATGTAAGTAGGTATCTGATGACAGGGATGAGCATCCCTGAACTTGAGTTTCAAATGCACCTGCATTGTCTACATTGTTATTGATATAATGATCATACTGGTGACCAGAACGGGAGGCCAATTCATACCTTCCAGTAGGGCAGGTGGGGACCCATCTGGGCTCAGACTCCTCACCCATCAGTGAAGGAAAAGCTTCCTCAAAATATTGTATATTGCCTCCCAGCCTCTGCAAATATTTCCCTCGATACCCTGCAAAACGTTTTGATTTATATTGGTTTTTCTACCCTAAAAAATTGCCAGATACACTGATGGCATGAGTAAGACAGATGACTTCTCAAGCAAAGACAACTTACTGCCTTTCCCAGAGAACTCCCACAAAAATGCAAGTGTAGCCTCCCTGAACTCATCACGGATTTTGGTCGTTAATTTTCTGTCTGCCTGAACTGTCTTCCCACACCCTGGGAGGGGCTGACACTCCCACAGAACTCAGACCAACAGTGCAGAAAAAGCCAGGAGGAGGAGGCAAGGGGGACTCGTATCTCCATTATTACAGGTTACCAGGTGTGGAAGGGACGGCTTGGCCTCACAGCACCTTACATTTAGGAGAGAACTCAGCTGTGCTGGAAGGGGCTCATACTCAGGAGCTATTTAATCTCATAAAGATAAAATAACTAAATTATTTAATCTTTATTTTTGAATAAACACCTATTGAAGTTTATTATGTTTCATATTTTATAAAGTGCATTTATGAAAGTATGAATTTAATGAATCCATACTGTATGCAAGGGACCAAGCTAAACCCTCATCTGCTCTATTCGATTTAATCCTAACACCTACTCTGCAAGCTTGGTTTCATTATTTCCATTTTACAGATAAGAAAATGAAGTTCTTGCAAGCCATGTCAACTGGAGTTCTTTCTGCGTAATTGTAAAACTGGATCCCTCAGAGAGGGAAATGTATGTAAAAAAAGAGCCTGAGACACAAGTTGCTGTTTTTAAATCAATTGCACAGGTTTCTTCATCTCTCACATCTGACTGGTTGCAAAAAGAAAGATCTGCGATGCTCCTGTATATTTTTTTTTTAATCATTCGCATTGACTTTGTCACGTTGACAAGATCTCAGAAGTGGATCAGGGATCTTTCACAAACCAGAAATGCTGAGACAGACCTTCACAGCAACTACTGCAGCACAGAACAGTTTAAATGATCAAATACTATTAACGAATGAACTTGCATGCTGAATTTCATATAGAACATTAAATTTCTCCCTAACACTCATGCGTGATTAAAAGTTAAAAACGGTATAAACACATTTTAAAGTTGTAGTGGTAATTACTAAAAGCAGCCAGCCACACCACAGCCAGGCATTGCTGAAGTCAGGCTCGTGCAGCAGAAGTTTATATTAGCTCAGTACATCAAGTTGTTCCTTTGAGATTTCAGCTTTGGTTAGTCTTCTTTGGCTAACAAACTTTAACTGGAGGTTTGACTATGGTAGTGACACATAATCAAATAGCATTCTTGATTAAATAAATGTAGGTTATCTCAACAACCTGAGGAATCAGTACGATGTTCACACTGTCCATCAATCCACGATGAGAAAAATCTAACCCAACATCTGAAGTATTATCAGTTCAGGCGAAGTCCATTACATGAGCCTAATGTCCACATGTGCAAATGTCTTCATACCTGGAAATCTTTGCGAATATCAAAATAAAATATTTACTTTTTTGCTAGGGGGAATAAAAAGTCACAATAGTAGAATATATATCTTGATAGAAAAATAAAGGTTTTTAATTCTCTGAATACCAAGAGCTAACATTTTATGATTACCCTTTGAAAACAGGGTGTTGGGGAACAATTTTAAAGTTTTCAAAATCAGTAGAAAGCTCATTCACATTCATACTATATCCAACACCACTTTTACAAATTGCACAATAATTTCCTTACAGGAGTAGAGCAGCCAAGTTTCGGTGGGTCTGTCACTGTACTCAGCTAAGTCTCTGTTGGTACAGAGTCCAGGGGTCCCCCGTCTTCTCTGACAGGATCCTTAGTACAGTGACACTTTATAGCATGCGTTCTTTGAAAAACCATTTCTGATGTTCCGAGCTGGTGCAGTCCCGTAAGCGTGGCACGAAACTGTCACGGTACGCCATCTTCTCAGCCTGAACACATTTATTGGACTGTATGTGAAACATAGAACCATCCTACAAAAGAGAATAGACATTGGATGTTCAAGAGCAATCTAAGCAATTCCTCAGAAAGTATCTTCTTCCTTAAAATGTGTTCTTATGTGCTCTTGGTGACTTTTATCATTTCAGAAACATTTACTGAGCATTAAGTGTCTGCATGTATAAAGGCAACCCAGGACTGTCCACGGTGCAAGCAGAGAGAGGGCCAGGCACACACAGACATGTGTCATATCAGCCTTTCCCAGGAGCGCTTCACAGCCCCGACTCCACTGTCAGGGCTGATGGTGCCACCTGCTGGCTTCTCTGGGGATCTGTCAGACCCTACCTCCCATCCTCACAGCTTTTCTTTGCCTTCAGGGAAATCAGGACCAAAGATCTTTTATTAATCTCTTCCTCTTAGGTCGACTAATTCCCTCCTTGGTGACCTCTTTCGTTTATGCATTTAAGTGGGGAGTCAGGAAATTTGGCTTTAGTCCCAGCTCAGCTACAGACCAGCCGAGGGAGGGGGCAAGTTACCAGAGAGGAAGTGGGTTCTACAGACCATGCCAATTCCCAAACCCGAAAGACCATGATCCTCTTTAAACGCCTCCTCCTTCTCTCCTTTTTCTCAATTGTTGCTGAGTTAACTAAGCAAACCTCTCCCTGCGGTTCTGGAGTTTCTCTTTTCCCTCCAATTCTCTCTTTTGTAAGCTGTACGCCCCCAAGGAACTTAATCACGGGCGGAACAACAAACGGACAGAACAAGTGAGATACCTACCTGTTCCAGGGCAAGAGAAGCTTTAGAAATACAATCAGATGCAATAGAATCTCAAAAATATTAACCCCCAAAAAACTCTTAAAAGTGCTCGTAAGCTGCCTTTAGAGTAACGTGAAAGTAAAGAGGCCTACCTCATTTTATTGCATTTTTTTATTGCACCTCACAGATATTGCACTTTTTACAAACTGAAGGTAAGACCATCCACCAGCAAAAAGATTAGGATTTGCCAAAGGCTCAGATGATGGTGGGTATCTTTTAGCAATAAAGTTATTTTTTTAATGAAGGTACATACATTTCTTTTAGACATACCACTATGGCATGCTTAATAGACTACAGTATAGTACAAACATCACTTTTCTACGTACTGGGCAACCAAAAAATTCGTGACTCACTTTATTGCAATATTTGCTTTATTGCAGTGGTCTGGAACCAAGCCTGCAATATTTCTGAGGTACGCCTGTAAGCGCCCCTCCCCCCACCCTTCTGAAGTCTTACTTTCCCTTAAATGGTCACTGAAATTGAAGATAAAATTTTAATGGTATTTCAAAGCAATTTTATGGTCTCTATCTTGCATTACTATTCCTTCAGGGCTTACCATGACTTCCCGTTGAAAGGAAGACAAGACGGAGGAGGGCATTGCAGAGGATTGCAGACTTTTGGTGTGTGCTGAACTATTTTCCCTCTTATTTTTTATATCACATAGAAAGCACTATGGTGCTGGGCTTTTCAAGGTAACCTGAAAATTTCATAACATTTTCTACAGAAAAACATACTCCATCTTCTAATCATACTTAGAATTAACTCATTTATAAGCAGTCTAGACGAATCTTACCAACCCTAAAGCCAGGCTGGGAATGAAAGCTTCCCACAGAGATAAAAGAGAACTAATTCTTTCTTTTGAATTACTTTCTTTGGCTTTATTCCCTCAAGTGCTTTTTAGTGAGTCAAAGGATATGACTGATTTATGAGCCCCATCACAGGCTTACTGCAAATATGATGGGGCTAGTGCCTTTCAGGCCTGAATTAACAACCCAATTCCAACTCAACAACTCCCTTAGAGAGATCTTTTCTTGGTTATTATACCGCAAGTAACAACTAATCTCTATAGAACTTCCCAATTTTCAAAGAATATTCCTGGTCGTATATCTAGCTGTCACTAAAGTTAAGACAAGGTAGGGAAAAAGGAAGCTTAGAGAAGTGGAGTGACTTATACCTGCATCTCACCTCCCATCCTTATACTTTAGCGACTTGTTTCACTTGTTTAAACCCCATTTCATCTTCAAATGCATCTGCGACAGCTCCTCTTCCCATTTCAGCTCAAGGTGTAAGAGGGTGGAAAGATCGAAAGGGAGTCAACAGTGAGGAAAGAAGGAAAGCACGCTGACACCGGACACTGTGGGATTCCACTACTGTGGCCACGGGCTAGGGGTCACCGTGAAGTTCCCGGTCTTCTGTTTGTGGCTGCATCCCTGAGACTCACTGGGACTGTGTCAGACAGCAAGCTTTACTTCCATGCTCCTCTCTGAAGCCCAGGGGCCCCGCAGCAAGGAAGAAATGAGACAGCTCACTTACCTCCTGCAAGATGAACTTCTGGTTCTCTGGGGCCGTTTCCTCACAGAGATGCATGATGAGAATATCCGTTCCTGCCTCCACAGCTATGCAGGCCTCTGGCTGATGGGTGTTATAGCGAATTTCTCTCTGGGATGTGTACTCAAAAAACTAAAAATGGAGCAGCCAACAGGCGTCAGTTACCCTCTGATGTGGAGAGAAGGGAATCAGTGGATGAGAACCCAGGGTTACGAGAGCATGGTGGCTGAGGTCTCTCACTTTCCCCTCACCCACCAACAATGGACTGACCGGTTGGCCTCCTGCATGTCCACACAGCAATCCGCACACCCTGGTGTGGCACTTAGAGAGTGCAAATAGAGGGACCCTTTCTTGTGCCCACCTTGGGTGCTAGATAGCGAGAGTGGGGCTGGTGCCTGGGTCACCCCGTGCCCACTGTGCGTAGCCCTGTGTTGGTGCAGAAGCGCAGGAAAGAAAATGCACCAGCCCCAGGGCCAGCACTTGGGAGCTCTCTGTGACCGTGACCAGCCAACTTCCTCTCCTTTCCTTCAGTCCTTTCTTTCTCCTCTTTCACAAACACAATGAGTGCAACCGTGCCTTAGAAAGAATAAAGTTCTCTGCACAAGCAGGCAACAGGACTGCTAGTGGGAGGCAGAACAATGGATTTCCTCCTCTAGTGTGCCTCAGAAAAATACTGACTCCGGTCCCATCCCAGAGATGGAAAGAGGATTCCTTCAGTCTGAGAAGGGGCCTAGGAAGCTGCAGTTTAACACTGTTAACAAGACATTCAGCCACCTGTCCACCCTGTCCCAGCCCCTCCCTTCCAGGAGATTCTGACACAGGTGGCTGGCTGTTCTTAAGGCAGGTGGAGCAGTGCCCCTCAAGCCACCTGTCCACCCTGTCTCATCTCCTCCCTTCCAGGAGATTCTGACACAGGTGGCTGTTCTTAAGGCAGGTGGAGCAGTGCCCCTCAAACGAATTTCCCAGAAAGCTGGTTAAGAGACTGGGGTTCAGGAGAGACAGGACAGGTCTGAGCATGTGCACTTCTAAGGCCTCAGGTGATGCTGATGATACTAGTTGGGGGACCGCCTTTGAGGAGGAGCATTCTCAAAAGTGTCGAAGAACGTGAATAACTCAAGGTTGTAGGGGTCTGAATTATGAAAGTTTACTGTTGAACATAAGGGGGCTTACTATTCAAATGGAACTGGGGAGGCTCCAGGTTGAAAGAAAACTTGAATCCCCACCCCTTCGTCTCTAGTGTCTGACACCTCTTAGGACAGTAAGGTTTTCAAGGTCCAGAACCAATGCTTCACTCATCTCTTGAGTCCTCCACGGGTCCCCTCTGGTGGGCCCATCTGCTCTCCTGGGTTGGGGTCCTGTTCTGGTCCTCAGACCATCCAGAACTTGACCCCCTGCCCAGCCTGAAGTATAGCAATTAACTCGGACAGATCCCCTAGGTCCCCAGCTGGGATAACTGCCCTAAACACTAATTTGCAGTGTGGCACTTTGCATCAAAACCCGTAATTCCATTTAAGAATAAATTCTAAGAAAGTCATCTAAAATATAGAACTGTTGTTTTTTTCCTTTTTTTTTTTTTCTGACCGAAGATGTTAGTGGTGGGGTTATTTACAACTGCAAAAACAAGGAGGCTGGAGATCAGTAACTAAACAGTAATACAGCCACACAAAGGTGTATTAAGAGGCCATTAGGAACGATATTCTCAAAGGTGTCCAACAATACAAGTATGATGAGGTAAATGTAAATACGAATATAAAACATATAGACATATGATAACAACTATTTAAAACACATAATCCAAAGGCCATGCATAAAAAAAAGATGGGAAGTAAATACGTCTTAATTATAATGGCGGTTGCTCTGGGTCCCGTCCTTCATTATTTGCTTCTACTTTTTCAAATTTCCCAAATGTTCTTTAATGAGCACATGTTACTTTTATAATGAAAGAAACTGCAAATATTTAATTTTTAAAAAACACACAGCTTTCCCCTCATTTCCCTCGTTAGAGGCCCACGCCGACGACCCCTTGAACATAAGGCCTCCGCTGTCTTCCCCCTGCCTGAGAAGGTCAAGGTACAGAGAAACAGCACGTACCTGGTTCTGACCCATCCCATGACAAAGATACAGGAGGACCTGGTGTCCCGTGATATCGTGTTCATTGGGAGGGTTATAGTCAAAGCAGTAATCTTTTAGTCCTCTGTTCTGGAGCTAAATAAAACATAAAGGTGGAGTTTTGGTTCAGATTTATACACGACAGATTCCACCCAAGGTTCTGAAGGAAGGCGAACAGTGAGAGAAGCACCTGCCTCAAGAACTGGTGGCAACGGTAACAGCCCGTTACAGTTCTAGTTTTAAATGTGCTTTCTCATTCTATACCGTAGGCAGGAATCATAAGACCCATTTGAACGTGATAAACCTGAGGATCAGAGAGATTAACTTTTTATGGCCTGAAAGTTCATACCTGTTCGTTTGTCATTAGTGTAGCCTAACTGCTGCACTAGTCCAAACATTGCTGAGTTGTCACTTGGCATATACACCAAGGAGCTCCTGCTATTATGCATCTGCAAAGGAACCCCCAATTAAGAGACTCAGCATACCTCAGATCAGAAGTTCACCATTCTAGACTATAGGAACAGCATAACACAAAGAGCCAATGACTTCCCCAAGGTCTCACAACAAGTAAGTGGAGATACCTGAGCCTTCAGTCCAGAACCTCTGACTCCATCACTCAACATTGTCTTATCTAACATCACCACTAAGGTATCTTCTGGCTCTAAAATCCTTTAATCACTCCAAGAACAAAGCACCATGGGAGATTCCATGCGCCTTCCTCCCTTCTAGGAGCCTCCCAGGGAAAAATTCAAGTATTTTCCAAATCCCTTCCTGATGAGTTCAAAGAACCCTCAACAGTGAGTCCTAAACTCCACTCCTGGCCTGGCCCTTGTTCATCCTTAACTAGCCTAGTTCACATGACCAGACTCAGCCATATAGAAAGGATTCCACAATCCACTGGCTCGTAAGGAAAGCACAGCCTTCCGCATTCTTGAGAGCTCTGCGTTAAAGGAAGCTGGGAACGCTCCTTTGTGACGTCCAGGTGACTCTCTATGAACCCACTGATCAATCTTTTCATGAAAGGCAGGATGACCAGACATTACATGCTCCCACCATGACACATTATGAATACAGAGCACACCCATGAAGTGTTCTTGCTAAAAAGGTTGATCCGACTCCATCAAACCTTTAGGCCTCACTTCATTTTAAAGAAACATGGGGGAGAGAGTGGCACAATTTAAAAGTCATCACACAGAAACAAAATAAATTAGGTAATTCTAAGAGTAAGGCCCACTACAGGACAACTGATGCTGTAGCCGAAGGGGGAAAAAAAAGGGAATTGCTTTAGATTAGACTTAGGAGAAAAGATGCAGCGATCTCATGAAATATCTAGACCTTGTTAGGATCCCAGTGGGAACTCGCCAACCACACCAAGAGAAATTTGAAAATGTGGAGGAATCTGATTAAGGGCTGGATATTAAATGACACCAAGAAATTATCGTTCATTCGATTAGGGGAGATAATGGTCTGTGGTTTTGTAGGAGAATGTCCAAATCTCATTGAGATGCATTCTGAAGTATATAGGAGTAAAATGACACAATACCTTGGGTTTGCTTAAAAAAAGAAAAATGTAGGAGGGTGGAACAAAGGAGCGGAGGAGAGTGAAAACAAGAGAGGCAAAATCTTGGTAATTCCAGAATTTCAAGGACAGAGATCATTATACCATTCTCTCTGCATTTCTGTATTGAACACTTTCATAATGAAAACTGAATTTAAAGCATTAATATCCTGCTTTGTGTTTACTGAAGACTTATGGGATGGAAACCAGCATGTCCCTCACTAGCCTGATGCAGTTCCTAGCAGAAGCCAAAGGCACCGGACATTTTAGCTGGCCTCATCTCGGAAACATTTCTTTTACGTTTTTCGAAATAACAGAAGTGATTCTCCTTTCCCTGCTACTGCCTTTGTGGATCCCTGAGTTGGGAATCATTAACTGATTCAGTCACTGAGACTTGAAGTAATATGATAAGGTGTTAGTCAAAACTAGGACACGGAAACATCAAGTGAGCCTTGTTTTCCTCATTTATAAAATGGGAGGCTTACACTTGTCAATTTCGAGATGGCTCCTGGGGCTGACATTCTGGACCTGAACCCCAGACACTCAGTGGATGAAAGGGGGTGGGTACAGGGATGGGAGAAGCCAGCAGTCCCTACAAAGGGGCCTTTCTTGCCCTGGGTTTGTTGATCAGACCTGGGGTCTAGGAGCTCCCTGCCCACCATGGGCCCGCCTTGCTCACCATCCCGAAGAAGCCAGGCCTGTCTTCAGGCACATGCAGTTCTGGATACACAGTCTCTAAGAACCACTTGAAGTCCTTACACTGGAGCTTGGCACGAAGCTGCCTCCTCTCTGTCACGTCCCCAAAGGGCTCCTGAGAAAACAACAAAATGATGAGGCCCTGCAGGTCACAGTGCTTCCTATTAAAGCCCCTCTCTCCACCGATGTTCACGCACGCAGTGAGATTTTATTGAGCACTTATTGTGTGCTGGGCCCTGTGCAGGGCACAGAGGATAAAAAACAGCCTCAGACATAGTGGCAGCACGCTAGTAAAAGAGACTGTCACATGATTACACTCCGCGGTGCTCTCACAACGGGGAGGTGTGGCCAGGTGCACAAGGGAAGGACACAAAGCTCTTGCTGATGGGATCAGGAACCCAAATCTCGAAGCTGCACTGGATCCCTGGACCCACGCCTCATCGATGAGCGTGTGATCACAGATCAACGAAAAGCCAGTAGCGCACATATGCCATCACATTCTGATTTGCTGCTGATATCTGAACATTCCCTTTCAAACACAGGTAAGTATTCTAGATGTAATCATGAATGAAAACCTTCTACTGTGCTATGTTGAAGTCTAAACATATACTTACAACGGTAAGAGCAAAAAGCTACAACAAATACTTGTGGAAGTATAGTTTTCTGGACAAAACCAAGGTTTAAGAACTTTTGAATAATAAAAGCATCTATTTAGCATGGCAAACGTGCAGCCACAAGAGCCATGCTGAGTGCCAAGATGTGACTGTCTCCGTGCTATGATATTAAACTATCAAAGTTTGATAGGTTAAATATTTAACAAAATAGTAATGATAAGGAAAAGCATTTGAATAAAATTTCAGATTTCTGCTTATTTTCCAGAAGTTCATTCTTTGATGAGAGTTACAGCGCCCTCATCTTCAACTGAAGGTCCATTTCAACACTCGGCTGTTGGGCATTAGGACAAGAGGTGAATGTGGTGTCCCCCTCTACCATACTATTCTTTGAGGATTCTCAGGAAGAGGGGACTGAGGGCTCCAGACTGGGTGACAAGGAAGAGCAGATGCTTCTACCCTGCAGTCTTGGGCGAGACAGAAGAAGCCATGACCGTGAAGCCCAGAGGCAGAGAGAGGCTGGAGGAAGCCAGGGCAGGGTCCACAGGGCTGTGCAGAGCAGAGAGGTCCTCTGGAGTGTGCACGCCTCAGGCCCAGTTCTGCCCCATCTGCTACAAGGTCTGGGGCAAGTTCCTTAAATCACTCTCTGAGCTTCGGTTTTCTCATCTATAAAATGAAAAATCCAGAGCTGCCCTCAAGGGCTGCTGTAAGGAATCAGGAGATTTTCATCAAGTGGCTAGGAAAGAGGTCTTGGAGCAGACCCTCTTGTCTTGCTCAGTGGCCCTCTTAGTTATGTGAACGCAGGGTAAGTGAGCACTCCATCCTGCAGTGTGCAGAGCTGGCCTGTGCAGAGGCAGTAGACCTATCTGTTGTTTGTAACCCTAAAATTGATACTGGTGGTTTTTTCATGCTTTCAGTCATGTGCAGAGTGGCAAAAAATTTGGATGGGCCAATGTGCGAGTTCCCAGTTGAAGTTGCGTTTCAGCTCTCACACGGCAAACAAGTGCCCTGTTGATGATCTGTTTAGTGCCACGCTCTTGTGCTTTGTGTTGGTGATTTCACTGTTTAAAAAGGCCCCCAAGCATAGTACTGAAGTGCTGTTTAGTGTTCCTCAGTGCAAGAAGGCTGTGATGTGCCTGACAGAGAAAATATATGTTTGATAAGCTTAGTTCAGTTCAGGCATCAATGAAAGTGCTGTTGGGTGTGAATTCGATGTAATGAATCAATAATAATAATATATTAAGTTAGGTTATCTTTAAACAGAAACACACATAACCAAGTTATGTATTAATCAAGGGACAAAAACTGTCAACCTGCAAGAGGCTTGCAGGAACCTAACTGCGTATTCCCCCAGGAGCAATGACGGTTCAGTATTCCCAAATTCAATGTTTGCGCTGTCTATACAGAACATAACCACTGCAAATAATGAGAATCAACTGTATATTATAAGTGAAGAAATGAAGTTTTCCCATGTATCATGAGCACCCAATTAATTCTCTTTTTCTGGAACCAGGTCTACCACGGTGTGGAAGCTGCTTTTGTTCACTGAGGCCAGATGGAGTATGGGTGGTCCTGGGAACTCACCAAACGGGCGTGGGGGTTTCGATGGTAGTAGAGCTCTTTAAATTCATCCATCCACACTTCAGCTGCACGGACACTGTTGGCCAGCGCCTTTTTGCGAGAGTAGGGTGCTTGCTTGGGGAAAACGTGGCCAACGTGAGAACACGGGTGTATCTCCAGGGTCCCACCGCACTGCCAGATCTGCACACAAAGCAAAGAGGCTGCGGTGAGCGAGCAGGGAATGAGGTGCTGGTCCACGATACCTATAGCGAGGAGGCCAGGTGCAAAAGTCACGACGAACACTGCCAAGCCCTCACCCTCCATGGGGCAGGAAGCCACTTTCCCAGCAGTCAGACCACAGAATGCAGTCAGAGTAAGAAATCAGCCTCAAAGACAAACGAGCCCCCAAACCAAGACCCCAAAGTCCATGCACTAAAGCTCATGCACTTGACTCAGAGGAGCACCCATAGCTGACCTCGCTGGGAACCCATTTACTCATTATGTAAAACACAGGCTGATTACCTGATCTCCTAGCCCCAGAAGATAGGAAAGCAGCAAGTAAGAAGAGAGGTTTGGAAGGGGAAAAGGAAGAGCTTCTAGAGGCAAGCAGAGCAGCCTGACACCTAGGGAAAAGGCAGAAAGACCATTAAAAGCACACCATAAAACTCTCAATGGGCTGAGTCCTCTGGGGCCACTTCATGCTGGGGCAAATGGCCATGGACTTCATTGTCCACAGGAGGTCTGATTAAGGGTAGCAACTGGTACTTAGGATGGGGGTGTGAGTCTTTGGTGAAAGGCCAAATTCTTGATTTTTGAGTAACTTTTTAAGCAGGAAACCATATGAAATATTAAAAATTTCTATTGAAAAGCACTAACATTGACATAAGGTTTCGATACTTAAAATGCAAGGTTTGATTAACTGGAAAATCCACTGAAATGCTCGGGGTTTCTCAAAGGAGCGTCATCTGTGGTCATGTACAGAAAAATTGGTAGGTGAGCATGTTACAATAGGCAGATTCCCAGTCCCTGCCATAAATCCACTGAAAATGACTGTCTGGAGACTGCGCCTATAAATCCGTTTTTTTAACAAGTTTCCTCAACAATTCTATATGTGTCAAAGTTTTAAAGACACTCTGCTAAATAAAGAGGCTGCTTCATAAATAGTTAAGCAAATCAAGTCTCCAAAAGATGGGATTAGAAGGCAGGGACCTGAGTTTTAGTCTATTCTCTGCCACCCACTCCTTGAGCAAGTCCCCCCTCTGGGCCTCAGTTCCTCCCTGCTGTAGTGAGGGAAAAGAACTAGGTGACTTGCAAGGCCTGTTTCCTGCCCCCAAAGTAATAAAAGTATACATTTTTAGAAGTTCAAAAAGAAGACAAGCATGTTTATAGGATGCATGTGCCATTATCATCTTTCAGGATTGCTGAATAAATTGCCAATATGGAGGTAAAGTCTACCAGGATCTCATAAAATCTCACCATTCCCAAAGAGAGAGAAGAAAGAAAGAGAGAGAGAGAATAGGTTAAGAATGAGTCCGAAGAGAAGAGTGGATACTTACCCTAAAGGAGAATTCGAGGTTTTCTCCGCCCCAAACTTCCATTCCTGTATCATAAGACCCCAGATATTCAAAATATTTCTTACTCACAGCAAACAGCCCACCAGCCATTGTTGGAGACCTGGGAGAGTGTGAGATCCACGTTGCAATGCCAGCAGCAGGAAACCATCCCTTCCCACCACAAGCCCTTCAGTCCCATCCTCCATCTCTAAGAGTACCCTGAGCTCATGCTCTGCCCGGCACTAGGCTGGGCCTGGAAGAAGATGTACCCCACCATTCCTGTCCTGGGGAAGTGCACAGACATCTCAATAGGCAAGTACAGAGCTCTGTGTATGAGAAGTGTGTTAACTAAGGTCACCCTGAGCCATGTGGGAACATGGGGCATGGGGGTGGGAGGAGCTCAGTTTCTTGGAGGGTAGGGTCTGCAGAACAAAGGGGAGTTAGCCAAGAAAAGGAATGGAATGGTTCTCCAAGAAGATATCAGCATGAGCAAAGGCCTAAGGGTGAGAGAAACCCTGTGCTTTCAGAAGCGTAGACAAACATAAGAAATGAGGAGACAGACCATGTTCCCCGAGAGAATGGCAGGTGCCAGGTCACTGTCTGGTGGCACAGGTCACTCAGGCACTGTACAGGCACTCACAGATGCTCTCTAGAGACTGGTGAGTAGATAGATCATAATGGGCAACTGGTATCTTAAAGCTCCCGAGGGCCGTTCCTCTCCAGATTGAGCAGTCTCCCCTCTAGGACACAGACACAGGCTTTGGCCTGCTTCTTCAGCCGGTCCTGTTTTTCCCCTACCAGGTTCCTCTAGAAGCCCACACTGGTTTTGGAAATGGCCCAAGGCTTCTATTCTACCACAGCAGAAAGCTGCAAGCTCAACACGCCACAGAGAACAAGATGAAAGAATAAATTCACAAACGGGGAAAAATATTAAGAACCCAAGTTTAAAATGTTTAGATACTCCAGCAGTGCATCCGGGCCATGACAAAGTACTGGTTTTTCTTGCACACTCCAAACTCCAGGCCAACTGAGAAAAGGACAGCCAGATTCTTTGTAGAAGAGAAGGTTCTAGACTACGAAGCCCTTACATGTGTGTTCATTCTAAAAGTCTAGGAAATAGGCTGGGTGAGTATGTTCATACCTATTTCACAGGTGAGGACACTGAGGCTCTGGGATATGACATGATGTGGAGGACAGCTAGCCACAATGTCCCTAAGCATGTGTATGGGGGTGGGGTGGGCAATGGGAGTTCATGTCAGCATCACAGGCTGGATATGTGACTCTGGGTAAGATCCTTCTTACTCTGTGCCTCAGTTGCCAAACTTGTTTAGTGAGAGGCTGGGCAGGATGCTCCCTGAGAACTTCTACAAAAGCCTGGGAGCCATCCTCGATTCCTCCCTTCCCCATTCCCACTACCCCACTTCTTCCACTGCACTGGAGTCTATCCTTTCCCTCCATCTTCTGCACCATCTTCTCCTGCACTGGAAGACTGCGATGCCTCCGAATGATGTCCCCGCCTACAGCCCTATCTCCTCCGGGCCCCCAACCACACGGCATCCAGCGCCATCTTTAAAGAATTCAACAGGCAAAGGTCACTTGCAGCTAAAATCCCTTCAGTGGCTACTATCCTCTCAGGGTAAAGTTCAAACCTTTTCTTTCCTTGGCCATCAAGGCTGGATGTGACTTGGCCCCATTTATCTCGCCGGTCTCGTCTCTCAATCCTATCTCCACACTTGTTCCACTCCAGCCAGCAGTGGGTCATCTCAAGGTCAGGCCTCCGGTGGAAGGATTCAGAAGGCCCGACCTCCAACATGAGTGCAGATTTAAGACACCATTTCTAGCTCAATACACCAGCAATAAAGCTGGCATCCAATCTCTATTACCTGACTCCTATATCCATCTCCCAACTGGTCCTGGGTGCAGATCTAAGACACCATTTCTGGCTCAATACACCAGCAATAAAGCTGGCGTCCAATCTCTATCTACCTGACTCCTATATCCATCTCCCAACTGGTCCTGAACTTGGAAAGGGAGGAACAAGCCAGACTATGTTTTCATTACCTCAAGAATCAGAGCAACTGAGCTCCCTTTGAGCCCACGCTACTGGGCTCACCCGCTGGCCAAAGCTGGCTCTTCCACCCCCAGGTCCACTTACTGCCCACCTTCCAGTTTGAAAGATGCCTAACAGTGTGTCCTCAAAATGTTAAATGTGAACTTACCATACGACCCAGCAATTCCATTCTTATGTATGTACCACAAAGAACTGAAAACAGGGACTCAAACAGACAATAGGACACCAATGCTCACAGCAGCATTATTTACAATAACCAAATGGTGGAAACAACCCAAGTGTCCATCAACTGATGAGCAGATTAACAAAATGTGGCTATATATACAATACTATTTGGTCATAAAAAGGAATGAAATTCTAGAGGAAACTTGCAAACATGTTAAGTGAAAGAAGCCAGACACCAAAGGACAAATATTGTGTGATTCCGCTTATGTGAGGTTTCTAGAACAAGGAAATTTCTAGAGACAGAAAACAGAAAAGAAGTTACCAGGGTTTGGAGGCGCGGAAGAAGGGGAGTCTTTGCTTAATGGGTACAGAGTTCCTGCACAGAATGATGAAAAAGTTCTGGAAATATGTAGAAGTAATCGTTGCTCAATACTATGAATGGGGTTGATATGACTGAATTGAACACTTAAAAATGGTTAAAATGGTAAATTTTAGATTACACATTTTACTAGAATTTTAAAAATAAGTATACATACCAGTATAAAATCCATTTATCTATCAATAGCAAAGATTTTTAATAAAAATCGACAAAGGCTCTGACAGAAGGTCAAGCTGGGGACAACAGCTAATCATCCCCTCCCAAGGGCCTTCACTGACGCATTAGCCATATGCAAGGAGGTTCACTGGAAGAAGTCAATCTCTGACCTGATGACATCGATGGGAGACCGCATCCGCATCCTCTCCCTCGTGGGAACCACATGCCACGTGAACACCAGCCTCCAGTCAAAACCGCCAATGTGAGGCTCCCCAGAGTTCCCCAGGTACTCAAAGGTGTTCCAGTCGATCACATCAATCACAGGGCACACCACTGCTGACTCCTCTTCGTGGATCCTGCAAACATCCAGGACACCGTCTCTCCAAGTAGACGGGCGCAGGAGGACAATTCGGAAATTCAGGAATGAACTCCCCTCACCCTTCCACTAGGAAGGAGGAGCACCTGTGTTCCTGCTTCTGTTATTCTAGGTGTCTGCAGCCATATCAGGCAGGTGACCATCTTGGGGGATGCTTGGGAGAAGGCAGGGAGCAAGGATTCTGGCCTTAATATGAAACGTCACACAGCTTTAAGATTCTATCTACGGTTATTCTAACTAAACATATAAAAATCAAAGGCAACTTTTAAAACAGAAAGCAGATTTTCAATTTCTCAAGATTGCCAAATGTTCCTTCATTTAATCACAATGAATCATAAAGAGTCAAGAAATAATTATCTCCCTGTCCAGAGATGCATCCAGACCAAAGGGTCAAAGCATCAGCTTTGGAGTTAGAATATAAATTCTAATTCTGCCCCTTATTCCGTGTGACATGAGTGACATGAGCCGAGTCACCTAACATCTCAGGGCCTGCTCTCTGATGGTAACGATGAACAGTATCTGCTCACAGGGTTCATGTGAGGACTCCCTGAATGTCTGTAAGATGGCTGGCAGAGAACCCGACACTATGGCTATTTGTTTCATCTTTATTATTGTGAAATATTACACATAGTGAGAAGTGCCGTAATCTTCTGTTGCAGGTATCAGCCTGTGCGTCTGCTTCAGCTATTCCCTCCACAATCATTATTACAAGTCCGCCCATCTGTCAACATGCTTCCCGATTTTTTTTTTTTTTTTTTGCATTCAACAGCACACCAGATAAACTGAGACTAGACCATGTGTGAACACTAGATTTCTTTGGATTACATTTTGGGCGCTTTTATCTGGAATTTGACACCTAAAGTGTCTGAGAGTCACACAAAACAATGGTATGAAGAAACAGAGATCAGCCAAATTTGAGCTATAAGTATTTTTAGAACAACACCAGAAAATTAGAGGTAAGAATTACAATTTTAGAGAAATTGCACTATTCAGGATAGATTGTGTGAGACAGAGAATCAAACCTGAGTTCACTAAATTGAGTAAGTTGCAGAGTTAGTAGCTACAGACCAAATTCTTTAAATATAGTGAGGTGAGGGCATTATAAAAAGGGTTGAGAGGGGCAATGGCAGACTTGTTGCGCAGGTTCAAATATGCTGTGCGGCTTCTGGCAGAGACCCCAAGAACTTGTGACTTGATAATCAAGCTGGCTGGAACCATGGATAATCTAATTTTTACAAGAATGAGAAAACTGGGGGGAGCCAGCGCTGGAGTAGAAGACACGGAATCATGGTTACAGAATGTGCAGGCCAAATAGCGGTGTGCCCCCATGCGGGCGCTACTGGCCTCTGGAGCAAGAATCATTCATTACCGTGCAGGATGCACACTGCAGGATACCTGGTATCCCTGGTTCCTGGCTCACAAAATGCCAGAAGCGCTACCTGGTTGACATGACAACCAAGAACATCTATTTCTGAAAGCCCCTGGAGGGAAGGGAGATACTGATCCTGGTTGGGACCACCTGAGCGACAGTACAGAGTCCAGTGTGTCTCAACTCTGATGTACATCTAAGTCCCTGGGGAGCTTTTTTTCTTCACTGACCATTCATCCTAAATCTTCTACAATAAATGTGTAATAATAAGTAGTAATAAAAGCAAAAGCTCACTACAGGGCCTCTTGTATGCTTAGCATGTTCTAAGAACTGTATGTTTATTAGATCATTTAATGGCCTCCACAGCCCAGTGAGGTAGAGACCGTTATCACGCCCAATGACAGAGGACCATCTGAGACAAGTGCCCCATGGCCTCTCACACCACAGTCATCAGTTTGTTTCTGTTTCTGTGTAGTGTTGGGACCCTCCCCGCATGGACGGCTCACGCACCTCTGCAGCAGCGGCTCCAGCCACCCCTCGTGGCACTCACAGTGGCAGTCCAGGAAGGTCAGCACGTCCCCCTTAGCTGCGGAAGCCCCCAGCAGCCGGGCTCGCACCAGGCCCTCTCTCTTGTGGGCTCGGATCAGGCGCACCTTGGGCAGCCCCGACAGCTCATTGGCCAGGCGTTCCTTCAGGTGCTCTGCGGAGGGAGGCGGGACAACGATGGTCACCATGGTCACCACCACACATTCCAAGCGAGATCCTTCCAGGGCCTCCCTGTCCCAAAAGAAGACTAAAAGACACAGGTCTCCTCTGTTCTGCCACCTGGGACACCCTCACCTCACCCAGAACCAAAGCTGGAATCGCCCTGAAGGCTGAAGGAGGCCGGGGTGGAGGAATTCCAGAACCACCCAATGCTCCCCACGCACACTGAAATCGTACGCTTGAAATGGGTGGTGCGGTATGTGGATATATCTCAATAAAGCTATTATCCTCCCAAAATACATCACACCTTGATTTGTGAACATTTTAAAGGACAAGACCCTCCTAACTACAATTTTTCTGAAAAAATATGTTAACATAAATTTTGTTAATTTACATTCATTATGTAATATGCTATAAATTTTTTAACTTATATGGAATTATGTTAACATAACTTTTACTTATAATACAGTTATGTTCATGTAAATTTTCTCAGGAGCACTTTTAAGTTGAAACAGTAATCGTAGTAATAATAATGGCATTAGAGGGCCTACCATACCATGGTTGTATAATTGATTTACATATAACTCACATTTGTCTTATAACAATCCTATGAGGGAGGTATTTCTATTACCCCCATTTTATAGCTGAGAACACTGAGGCCAGAGAGGCTAAGTAACTTGCCAAGGTCACAGAGTGAGTGAGCTGAGGACCCATGATTTAAACCTAGGGATGCTTGCTTGAAATCCACGGGCTTAACACTGCCTCCCAGAGCTTTCTCGTATGATTTCTCAGACTTGTTAAACAAATCCAACTTGTCAGGAATGTGCTCATCTCATTTTGCAGAATAGGAAATAAGTCCTTAAAAGTGGGAAGGAGCATGCCCACAGCTAGGGCTGGCCCCAGGACTCCCGACTCCACACACAGGTTCTAGAACCTTGGTGGGTCAGGTGGAAGCCAGTGGGTACTTCTTAGGCAAAACTAAAATGAGAGAATCTGCCCCAGATCGACATGGGCTTTGTCTTAAAGTCCTCGATCATCAGTGAAGGGGAACATTTTATAAAATGTTCCAGGTTGCTTCATAGTTTGTGAAAATGTTTCCCTAAATATTCTTGCCACAGAAACAAAACAAAACAAAAAAAACATTCCTCTGTATGCCATTCTCCACACTCCAGCCCAGAGGGGTGTCCCAAACTGCTCTCCTACTTAAAACTCTGCCTTGGCTCCCCCTGTCCAAGCTACTTGGCCTCGTGTCCAACACCTGCACCCTTCCCCATCTCCGTCCTTCCTGAACTTCTGGCAGATCCTACAGTCCACACAGCATTGCACCTCAGAGCCTTTCCGCATATGTGCCCTCGACCTGAAATGCCCTCTTTCCTCCTCCACTGCCCGCAAACTACTCAACCTTCAAAACTAAGGTCTACCACCCCCCTCTGGACACCCATTCAGAGTAAGTCCCTCACCTGTTTCCAGCAGCACCCTATGGTGGAGCCCTCTGTCATCACATCTGCATGCCCCCAGGCTCTGAGCTCCCTAAGGGCAAGGGCCCGACACAGGGGGACATAGGAAGCTGGTCCTTACCAGGCCCATTCCACATGTCCCAGGCACTGCCATGGAAAGCCAGGCTTCTCCAAGAGCCCATGCCGGGGGTTTACCTCTGTCGCTGTAGTCATCTACGAGGATAACTTCTTCTAGCAGGGTGTCTGGGGACGTCTCAAGGACACTGTAAATTGTCCGAAGGAGAGTTGACCAGGCTTCATTATAAAATGCTATGACAACAGATGTCGTGGGCAAATGATCATAATCATATTTCGTCTCTTTGCACCTGCAAATATAACACAACTTCACAACTTCAGAAATTGAGAACCCACTGCTGACTGTGTGTGTACCAGCCCAGGCTGGAGATGGAGTGATGAAGGGGACATTCTCTTTGCACCTGCAAATATAACACAATTTCACAACTTCAGGAATCGAGAACCCACTGCTGACTGTGTGTGTACCCAGCCCAGGCTGGAGATGGAGTGATGAAGGGGACATAGGTCACAGTCTCGAGACCTACCCCTGGGGAAGGGGAAATAATCTGCTGGCATCTTCCAAAGTCCCCTGTGTTCCACTAGAAGCCCCAGCAGATTCTAAGAAAAATTCTAAAATGACATCCAACAAGTTTGAACTGGAGGATACTGTTTTTAAGCTTTAAAGCGATTTTCAGATTTGAGCAACATACAAACTGAGCAGAATCAGGAAGGAGGGAGACTGTCACTTCTCCCTGTCCAACAGCTCTCCATCTGTTCATTCCTTTCCAGGCCCACTTCTGGGCCTTTGCTCAGACTGTGCCCTCTACCTGGAATGCCCTTTCCTCCCTCCTCTACTGTGCAAACTCTGTCCTCTTTCAAGAACTCAATCATACACCTCTCTGGGAAGGCCCTGGGACCCCCACCTGGGGCAGTGGCTCGCTGCTCCCTGATTCTCCTCCAGTACTTTGCCCATGCCTCCATTTCAGCATGTCACTCACCATGCTCTGGTTACTCACATTCAACTTGAGTCTCTCCCTACCCTCTCCCAGCATCTTCCCTACATTTCATCCCAGCAATGTCTATGGGAATGGGAAATAATCTCCTAGGATCTTCCAGAGCTCCCCATGTCTCACTAGGAAACCTAGCAGATTCTAAGAAAGGTTCTAAAATGACACCCAGCATGAGCAACACCAGAAGGACCAGGGTTTGAATGCTGGGCTGGAAATTCAAGAAGGGGATAAATGCTGAAGACCAGCCAGGCTACAGGCAGAAAGGGAAGACCCTTACAGATAAGCTGAGTGGGAGGCCAAAGAGATGGAGAACCAAACAGGAAGAGGGGTGAAAATTAATATCTGCTGACTACCTGCCACATTCCAGGCACCATAGCAATGGGCCTGTATCAGTCAGTCACCAAATATTTCCTGATGGCCTACTATTGCCAGATAGGCAAAACTCCTGCTCTCATGGAGCGTACATTCAGAGGAACAATAATCAAGTAAACAGACGTATCAAAAACTTCAGAAAGTGATCATACTAAGAACGAAAGGATCATACTTTGATGAAACAGAGGAACTACAGAGGGGAGTGGGAAGGGAGATGGGGAGCAACCACAGAACAGGTAATGGGGGGGGCCTCTCAAAGGAGGTGACATTTAGGATGAGATCTGAATAACAAGAGACTCAGTTCCACGAAAAGCTGAGGAAGAGCCCTTTGTGTATGCGACTTATTTCTTTATGTTTTTTCTCCTTTTATCATATTATTAAAAATTTCAAACATATAAAAAGTAGAGAGAATACTATAAAAAACTCCTGTGTACCCTTTGCCTGACTTCGGCAGTTCTCAATGCCTGGTCAATCCTGACCCACTCCAACTCAGAATATTTTTAAGCAAAATTCAGCATGTCATAGCGTCCCTAAATATTTCAGTACATATCTCCAAGAGATAAGGATTTTTTAAATAATAAATACAATGTCATTGTAAAACCTTAAAAAATAAGCAATTCCTTAGTGCTATCATATCACCAGTCTACAATTTTTCATCAAAGCTAAAAACCCAATGGTTGGAAGACATACACCATTCTTTCATGAACCAATAGGAGACGAATAACTATAGAACATACTGATTTTAAGACATCCTAATTTTAGAAATGTTTAAACATTTTTTTAAAGAAGTACCTTAGAACTGATGAAACACAGTACTTTATTTAACTCACGACCACTTCCTATGTTAGTGTTTATTGTTTCCACTTTAAAGACAAGGCTCGGAGAGGTAGGATAACTTGGGCAGTTCACAGAGTGATTGCAAGTGTGTACTTGGCTGAGATCCTTCTGTCAGGATCCTTGTCATATGATCCTTGTCATAGGTCTTACTCTCTTGCTCTTTCCACCCTCAAGGAGGCTTAGGTGGGCCATGGTAATCTAAATAAAGATCCCTACAATCACATCTCCCCACCTAGCCCTCCCTTTCTCCTCTCTCTCAGGGTGTTCCAAAGAGCTCCAGGTCCCTCTTCCGAAACACCAAGACAGCTTGTGCACCAGCTCAGGCTCAGGCTCTGCTGTCACTTGGATGGCTTTTCCACATGAACAGTTTTATCTGAGAGTCTGTGATACGGGCTGGCTTTTCTCAGCTGCATTTACATTCTCTCCCTGTTGCATCCAGAGGCCCAGCTCTGAGCACCTGAGGAAAGTCAGAGGAAGCTGGAAGCATGCCGGCAACAGGACGTCTCCACCTGCCCTAGCCAGCAGGACCTGAATTCTTGGCTTCCAATTCATGAAAGTACGGACTTAGCACTGTGCTCCACAGAGGGGAGGAGTCTGGCCCACATGCAAGGGGAGGAAGAGTAGGCTCTGTCTTTTGAAGGGAAAGATATCAAAGAATTCGTGTATAAATTTTAAAACCACTACACGTGAACAGAATGCAGCCAAAGTATGTGACTTCTCAGGTCCTGAGACACTGAGGTTTCCTCCTTTTTTCCCTCCCATGGACCACCCATTCTAGGCAAAGCCAGCCGCCATCCAGTGAAGACACTCAAGTAGCCTAAGAAGAGGTCCATGTGGCAGAGACAGAGGCCTCTGACCAATAGGTGGTACAAACTTTCCAGCATGGATGTGCCTTCCTGAAAGCAGATCCTCCAGCCCCAATCAAGGCTTGAAATGATGAAAGCCCCAGGCAGCATTTTGACTGAGATATGCTGACAGATCCTACCAGCTAAGCCACATCCAAATTCCTGACTCACAGAAATTACATGAGAAATAACAAATGTTTATTGTTAAGTCACTAAGTTTTGTATGAAATAAGTCCAAGGAAACTCTCGGATGCCTAGGCCCAAACTGAGACATTTATAAACCAACACGCATGTACTCTTAAAAAACATCAATGTCCTAAGAGACAATGAAAGGCTGAGGGACCGTTTCAGACTGAATGAGACTAAAGAGACATGACAACTAAATGTCATACCTGATTCTTGATTGGATACCAGATCAGGAAGAAAAAAGTTGGGACAGTTGGAAAAATCCAATATTGTATCAATTTCCTGGGTTTGATAACTACATAATGGTATCATAAGAGAATGTCCTTGTTACTTCAAAAATGAAGTAACCAAGGATAAAGAATTATTCTCTGTAACTGATTCATAAATGTATATAATATTACAGTATACACATAGAGAAAAATTAAGTAAATGGGGTAAATTATGTAATGAGTGGATCTAGGTGAAGGATATATAGTTCACTGGCTATTTTTGCAAATTTCCTCTAGGTTTTAATTTTTCAAAATTAAAAGTTTAATATAAGAAGAAAAAAATTTTATGTTACAAAAGATACACCCAAATACCAAGGTGATTCTGATCTATAGATACGTATCTGTTTTAGCAGCCCCGGCAAAGGCCCTCTCCGATCTCATTCTCTTCCACTTCTACCAAAGCAGCTTCCTTCTTCCAAATGTTATAGCAAATGGAAAACATATATACATATATTAACATATATTAAC